CACACCAAACTACAAACAGAAAGAATACTTAAAGGATCCTCTGCTAAATCCTTATCCTTCTGCACACTGCAAAAAAGCCACTTTTGGCAAAATTGCCTGCTAACTGTTTCAAGCTTCTCACAGTTGGGAAGATTACTGAAACAACAGTTCTGTAACATCTCTTAGAGGCTTCCTAAAGCACACTGGTCCTGAGAATACCAAGCAAGCAGTTAGGGACAACTCATTGCCAAGGGAAGTGCAAAGAGCTAGCAGAACAAACCTTACTGCTCAATCAAGAGGGAATGAGGAGTGCAACTTGAAGCTTTTTATTATCCACTCATCTTGATTTACTTTACAAAGCACATGTATGGGTACCATGTATGGGTAAATGCTCAATCACCAATCACATAGTTATTTTAATGATGGTGGTGACTGGGGATAGAAGGTGGAGAAGGAATGGGGTTTATGGAGAAAAGCATGACTTGGAAAATGTTCATTTGTAAGCTAGGGCATCTTGTGCCCTTTACCAACTCATTGAACAGCCCTCAAAGATTGGTAGATTTTAGGGAGAAGTTTCTGCCAAGATAGTATGTTAGATCATAAAAATTCTGAATGATGACAGAAGTAAGAGAATTCAGGGATCTAAGCAGAGAAGAAAGGCTAGGATTAAATCTATAAGAATACTAAGCCCTGGACCACCTAGGAGGAGGGAGCGTCTCCCTTTTGCTCTTTGCTTTTTCTTATAAACAAATGAGAAAATCCTTTCTGACTATTTCTAAATGAAGAAGGAGCTAGATACACATGTGACCCCTTGCACTTGGATTTTGTCATGAGGTGATCCCAGCACTTTCTAATTTCACAATCAGTGTACAGGTCTCTATGCACGCTCACTTCTAGCCACCTCCTGCCTCAGCACTTGTACAGCCCCTCAGATAATAAGCACCTCACAGTCTGCTTTCTCTACGTAAGAACAAGATGGCAGCACCTCACCCCTTTACAAGTTTCAACACAGGACTTAGACCAGAGCCAACTTGAGAGGGCTCCCAATGGCCAAAACTGGAACAATTTGAGCAACAGTAAGTAACAGTAGTACTGGATTATAACCCATAAAATAAAATAAATATGGAGTCCTCACTGATAAAAATCAGTAGTTGGATCAATAAATAGGGCATGAAAAATGATTACAGAAGAATTCTAATTAACAAAGAAGGAAACAGAATAATTTTTAGAACATGAATAGTAATAGTTGTCACTGATAATATCAACAGATGCTAGAATCTGTGGAGAAGTTTGAGGACAGAAAGGGTATTTGCACAGCCTCAGAGCATCTCTCCCAACAGACTTATTAATTACAAAGGGACAAGAAGTGGCCTTACAGTGGAGAAACATAACCAAATCACCAAAGTTGTTAATGTCACCAGTAATGAAACAAACATCATACAGCCACAACCCCTGGGGGGATATGCTAAGGAAAACACATACTTCTGTGGTATTCCTGACAAAATCTCAAGTTCACCATGAGAGAACAGGAGATCCCACAAACTGAAGGCATTGCACAAATTAACAGACAGTTCTCTTAAAAAATGTGAAGGTCATAAAAGCCAAGGAAAGCGAAAGAAATGTCACAGAGGAAAGGAAACTAAGGAACCACGGCAAACGCAATGTAGGTGCCTAGGACAGAGAAAGGAGGTTAGTGTCTAAAGACCGCAGTGTGGGAAGTCTTAAGTATGTGGTATCACCACCCACCAAAGCTAATTCCTATCACACTTGTAAAGACACTAACATTAAGTAAAGTTGGACAGCAGGTGTTTGGGAAATCTCTTATACTAGTTTTACAACTTTGCTATGAGTCCAAAACAGTTTCAAAATAAGAAGCAAAAAAATAAAATAGGATTTAGGATCTGATTGTAAATGGATGAGAATCACTCCACTTTCTTTGCAAGTTCAGTCCCCACATGAGTAACAGAGACACCTTGAGGGACAGGAAACAGCTATGAGGTGGACAGTTACAAAGGCTTACCATTTACAGTAGTTATAGAGACAAGACACACCCACATAAATCCTTACCAGGCAATACAGTAAAATTCCAGCCACTTGCATGTGAGCAGCAATGGTATGTCTAGCATCTAATCGAGCTCATGGCTTATTAAAAAACTGCCTGTCCATCTGCTCCCTCCCCTAGGTTTCCCTTCATAGACAGCCCTGTAAGCCAGATTTGACCGTGCTGATGGCAACAGCCCTGGCTACTTCTTCGGTGGTTTTTTCTTTTTTTGGGGGGGCGGGGGTGAGGCAGGGGTACAGGGTCACCTTATGTTGCCAGGCTGATCTTGAACTCCTGTGCTCAAGTGAGCCTCCCACTTTAACTTCTCTAGTTGTTGGCACACACCTGTGATGCCAACACACATCACAGGTGTGTGCCAATATGCTGGGTATCACTGAGTACTTTAAAAGACAATTTCTTTGTGGTTAGGATACTAAATACATGCACATTTCAGTTTATTTGCTTCATTCAACTTTTCAAGGGTTTACTTCATAAAATATTTTGATTGCTTCAAGCTCATGTGTGATTTCTGCTCTTAACTCACAGGCAGTCTCTACCCTCTTCCTCCCTTCCCATTGTTGGCTGATGGTCCTACAAATAACCCCAAGTGATTCACAATAGAAACCTACCTTCCTCCACACTCATCTCAAGTCTGTGTCACTTGTCCCATCAGTACTGGCTTGGTTCAGGGTCTTGATCATTTTCTTACAGGTTAGAGCAGCAGTTTCTAAACTACAATTTTCTCACCTCAAGGCTCTGGCACTGACACAAGATACCTACACAGCCCAGTGGTCGCCTGCAAAAGACAAGGCTCAGATCTCTGCACTGGGAAGCCACTAGGAGGCTACAGAGAGTAGTGATAACCTCAAGTGTTCCTTCACGCCATCCCTGGGTACAACTGAGCAGATCTCGCCCTTCTTGACCTGGCCTTCAGTCACCAGACACTTTGCTTCTCTAGACCTCTGCCATGACCAAACTGTTTTTGAATCTTTTTTCTTTAAATGAAATAGTATAAAGAACCTTAAGATACAAGGGTTCTTCTCTTATACAAAAGATACAAGTGTTCTTTTCTTATATTTGCACATCCTAAATATGGATAATCCAGATATGTTCATTTCAATTGGTGTAAACCCAAATTTATAATGTTTACTTATTGATAATGCAAGTGGACATGTCTATATGAAGGTATTCCCTAAACTGAAGTCTGGATAATTGATAACAACGATGACCAACATTTGTTAATACTTCTGTCATGCCATGCACGGCCCTAGTTTTACATGGATTAGCTTCTCAATCCTTGCAGCAACCCAAGGGGGGTGGATCAGTGGTTAAACTCATTTTACAGACTGGAAGTGGGAAGAGCTTGAGTGACATGCCTGCAGTTACACAGTAAGCGGCAAAAGCAAGGTTTGAAGTCTGGGTGCTCTGATTGCCCACGCCCCACCTCATACCCTAGACTCTCCTGCCTTTCGCAGTGGCACACAGACTTGTGTGATAATGATGAAAACGGTGCTGACAATGATAACCACATGGTACAGTCTGGACAATGGATGTCTCCATCTGTTAAAGGCTTGGTCCCCAAGGAGGCACTATTGGGATTATAGAACCTTTAGGAGCTGGGACCTAAGGGAGGCCCTTAGGTCATTGGAAGCATGTTCTTGCCTCTTCCTGAACACATGGGGTGTTCAGTCCACCACATGCTCCCTACCACTCACATCCAGCACTACTGGAACACAAACTCTGAAGTTCCTGAGAGGGAACTGGGGAAGGGGGTGAGAGTAAGTCCTTCAAATCATGTGATTCAAATACTGTTTTAAAAATAATTATGAATACAATTTTAGTGAAAATTTTAGGCAAATGCCTGATCTTGGATTGGAACCTCTAAAACTTGTAGGGCAAAGTGAACTTTCCTCCTTTATAGGTTAACCATTCAGGAATTTTGTTACAGTGATAAGCTGACACACCACAACCACATTAAACCGCCGCCTAACGTTTATTTCTCACTCCCTAGGAATAGGTTCCGAATAGGTAGTGTAGACTTTTTGGTTTGTTTTTCGGTATTGGAACTGAACTCAGGGCCTCAAAAGTACTCTACCACTTGGGTTGTGCCCCCAGTCCTTTTGCCTTTTAGCTTGTTTTTCAGATAGGATTTTAAGCTAACTTTGCGTGGTGTGCCCTTGAACCTTGATCTTCCTACCTCTGCCTCCCAAGTAACTGGGATCACAGGTGTATACCACCATGCCTGACCCAAGAAGTGCCTTGAATACCTCATCTCACTGAATTCTCACCAGTGTCCTGTGAATTATGGTCTGCCATGCCAACACTGCATGTACAGTGGTTATGGTCCAAATGCCTGAATTTGAATCCATTGCCTCTTGAGTTTGAAGCTCTCCTATGAGCATAAGCCTCGCTGGACTGGTGTGAGAATTTAAAGATACAGCCAGACGAAGCTCCCCACACCTCCTAGCACATAGGAAGCACTCAGACTCCATGGCTCTCACAACCTGACTCGCACAGATAAGCAGCTGCAGGTCTGTTAGGCTAGTGCTGTAATCTCAGGGTGTTCCTTGGCTATAGAATGGTAAGAAAAAGTCTTAAATAAAGATCTGGTCAAAGATGAGTTAATCTTGCTGTATATTTCCAAAGTATAAAACCTTAGAATACTGCTTTGAATGTACTAAATTATAGTCAAAAAATCATTATGAATGTATTTTTGAAACAATATTCGAATCACATGATTTGAGGGCCCTCTCTCCTCACTCTAGCTTCCCTGCCAGGAACTTCAGAGATGTTCAGATGGAAGAATGAAAACTGTCATTGAGACCGTCATCCTTCTGAACTCTGAGCTGCCACCTGATTGCCTTGGTTTGCCCCTTCCCTCCCTCACCAGCCTGTATCTTATACCATCTTTGCCCCATTCTCTCTTCCTGCAGTGGAGGCTGGTTCTGCACTGCTGGGCAGTGACCTTCGTGCCTCTTACCTGTGTTTCAGCCGAAGTTTAACCCCTCCTGACCACGCCGCTTTCTTGTGCTGGGAACCAGAGGTGAGGTGCTCTGGGCTGACAGAATTAGAGGCACCAGGGTCTGCATGGTCCGAGTCTGCACACACGTCTCTGTCAAAGATAGGATGATAGAAGCTAAGCGTGATGGTGCTCATGGGCAGGAGCACAGACGAATCTAACAAGAGCCAGGCATGCAAATGGACCCTGGAGCCAGAGCTGACTCAGCACAGCTAAGTGCCAACACGCTTCACGTTCTCTCATCTGAAGAAGGCAAATCACTGTTCAGGTTCTTCTGCCTTTCCTGCCTAGGTTTCTCTGAAAAATAAAGTATCCTCCCCAGTCTTAAAAGCTCAGAAAATCTGACTTGGTTATTTTTGCAGTCCTGGTCCTTGCGCATACTAACCAAACGCTGTACCACTGAGCTGCATCCCCAGCCCGCATTAACTGTTTTGAAGATAATCTCCACTTCAGTGATAACAAACAAGCAAAAACTGGAACTCACTGATACAAGCTATCAAACAGAGTGGTTCCCTGAAACCAAGTCATTGCTGCCTCACTTCTCAATTTCAATGTAAGGAGCACGATCCCTAAGTGTCACAGCCTTGGCTCTGTTCAGTGGGTGGCAGCCCAGAAGCACATGCCAGTCCCTGGGCTCCAACTATTTCAGATTGTTCAGATTCCACTGTGAGGGGAGGCGGGCCTTCTATGTCCATTTCAATCCCCCTCCCGCCCCAGTCCTTAGCACTGTTCCCATTATTCTTTTCCTTCATACCCTCAGGGAGTCAGAAAAAATTTAAGTCCCACACTGCCAGTGTTCCGCCCTGGGAACAGTACTTCTTATCCTTAGGACAGTCTCAGGGTCAGGATCGCCAAACATTCCTGATGCCGCCTTTTTTCCAGACTGTCCCCAGCCTCAGGCTTTGAAGTGGGTTTTGTCACCATCCCAGTTTGCCAAGGACAGTGGTGTGTTTCCAATTTTTGTCTTCAAGGATTTTTTTAAACCTCTGAGACCCAACTGATGGATGGTCCTATAAGCAGGAATCTGGAGGAGGCAGAGCGAGGCCACTCCTCCCCTGCATATGCCGTAACTGAGAGGATTATTGAACAGCTGTTAGGAATAAGCCTGTCCATCTGGCCTCCTATTTCCTGGAACATGGAAGAAAAGAGCTCTCCTTCTTAAATCCCAAGGCAAATAAAAGGATTCTTGATATTTTAGGACACTAGGGAGATGACCAGGAGGTTGGCAGGTCCATTGCTAAGTCACAGGTTTCCTCTTAGCTTTAGGGCTATAATTTGGCTAGGGTTTGAGTGTGTCCCTCAAGGACTTGTGTTGAGGCTTGGTCCCCAGTGTGGGAGCACCACCTTTAAGAGGGAGGTCTTGTGAGAGATCATTGACAGCCCTGCCCCTAAAAGGAATTAAGGGAGTTCTCCAGAGTGAGGTTGTTAGAGTGCCTGACACCCGCCCGAATCGCTCTCTGGCTTCCTTTCTGCCATGATACAATCTGCCAGGCTATGGCAGAGCAAGAAGGCCTCACTAGAGGCGGAATCAATGGGCCTGCCCCATTTCAGCCTTCAGAACTGTTCCCTAGATCAAACCCTTTTCTTTATAAAGTTAGCATGTCTTGGGTATTTCATTATAATAATGTAAAAATGATTCAGACACTTAGTTATAACTAGCCAACATTACCACCTTCTGTACCTTACTTTTCTCATCAAATTTCAGATTCTTGGCTCTTAATACAGTCAATATAATTCTAGACTTAAAGTCTGAAGACTTGGTTGGGGTTAATTCACTTATGACCTGAATGACAAGTAAACTCCGAGCCTTGTGCTCCCATCTCCTTCCCATTTGCCTGTTCTTCTTGCCAGCCCTTCACTTTATACTGGAATAAGGTGAAAACAGGAGACCATGTGCACAATGGTCAGAAGTAGGGCTCTGGCATTTGTCCTGGCTCCACCCATGGACCAGCTCTGTGACTCAGTCCTCTCTATGCCTTGGTTCTCTCATCCATAGAATGAGTATAAAGGAACAGCCTCTTTCATAGTCAGTGAAAAACTTAAAAAACAAACATTTGGAGCACAGTTCAGTACATATTAAGCACTCAATAAGTCAGCCATTATTATTATGATAATGTATATTAACTGTCTAGCATACTAGCCACAGATGGTATGTGTTAATAAGTTATTTTCATTATTGTCTTACTAATAGTTTCTTCATTTTATAGTTCCTTTCAGCTAAAATATTATATATAATAGCTACAACTAAAAAGTCCTCATTTATGCTGGAAATAATAGAAGAGCCTTAACCACAGAGAGTTAATAAGTCAAAATCTTTTGCAAAATTCATCATATAGTCCTCAGTTAGGAATTCTCATACAACCTTCTGAGGCACCAACCCCGATGGCCATTTGGCTTAGATTGTGGGGGAAAGTAGACTCAGAGGTACCTCACCAGGATGGACATGGTGGCGCATGCCTGCAATCTCAGCTACTTGGGAGGAAGAGTAGGAAGATCATGGTCCAGGGCTGATCAGGCAAAACCCAGATCCTATCTGAAAAACAAATTGAAGCCAAAGGGGGAGAGTGCTTTCCTAGTAATTGCAAGGCTCTGACTTCAAATCGTGCCACTGCCAAAGAAGAAAACCAAAAAATGTACCCTGCCATCCACTACCTCAGTGAAAAGACCAACCACTGGCAACACCCACTACACAGCAAGGGGATAGTCTTTTACTTTCCATGCCTGCTCTAGTCCTTAATGTCATCTGTTGGGAGAAAACAATCAGGCCCAGGCATGACCTTTCACAAAACCTTTGTGGCATTTAATAACTTCCTCATTTTTTTGCCTAAACCACAATTGTTGGCTCTGTCCTTTCTGCACAATGGCTTAGCCTCCAGAGGCTGAGTTCTTTTCTTTCTCCTCTTCCCTCCCCCTTCCTGGGAGATACCTAAAGACAGAGGGCCAGGACTCCTGGCCATCCCAGGCAGGAAGAACAGGCAAACAGGAATATGAGGCTCTGAGATTCTCTCAGCTTTTTAAGATTCTCCAATGTGTTATTCCTTTCTACTCTTAGGAAGGCAGAGACCAACACCCATCTCTGCCCTCCAAAGTCACCTCCTCTCACTTGTCATCTCATAGGGCCAGCTGAAGTGAGACCCATGAATTGACTGTTTGGTTGTAACCCTTGAAGCCACAACAGCCTCCCACCAATCCTCACACTCCTGCCCACCTTGGACTGGTACCTGAGGCCAGATGTCTGAGAAACCAAGTGGGCAGGCTGAAATATGTACCATGTGATCTAGGAATCAGGCTGGAGGGAGTGCTAGAAGGATCACCAGCATCCAATGCATAGCTTTTCTTCCTTAATCACTTTTGGAATAATCTGGACAACAAACTTTTTTTTTCCTCTGCAGTACAGGAGACTGAACTCAGGACCTCACACATGCTAGGCAAGAGCTATACCACTTGAGTCACGCTTGTATTTTATTTTTGAGACAGGGTCTTCTTGCTTGGACTGGCCTCAAACTCATCATCTTCCTGCCTCCTCCTCCTGTGTGCTGGGATTATAGGTGTGTGCCACCACCTCTGGCTACAAATAAGCATTTAAAAACGTATATGTTCTAGAGAAAGAATGGACAAATGGGACTTCATAAAATTAAAAAGCTTCTGCACAACAAAAGAAATAGTCTCTAAACCGAAGAGACCACCCACAGAGTGGGAGAAAATATCTGCCAGCTATACATCAGACAAAGGACTGATAACCAGAATATACAGGGAACTTAAACTAAACTCTCCAAAAATCAATGAACCAATTAAGAAATGGGCAACTGAACTAAATAGAACTTTCTCAAAGAAGAAATTTAAATGGCCAAAAAACACATGAAAAAATGCTATCTCTAGCCATAAAGGAAATGCAAATCAAAACCACACTAAGATTCCACCTCACTCGTGTTAGAATAGCCATCATCAAAAACACCACCAACATCATGCATTGGTGAGGATGTGGGGAAAAAGGAACCCTTGTACACTGCTGCTGGGAATGCAAGCTGGTGCAACCACTCTGGAAAAAAATTTGAAGACTTCTTAAAAATCTAAACATAGACCTGCCATATGATCCAGCAATCCCACTCCTGGGGATATACCCAAAAGGAATGCAACACAGGTTACGCCAGAGGCACCTGCACACCCATGTTTATTGCAGCACTATTTATAATAGCCAAGTTATGGAAACAATCAAGATCAAGAAAATGTGGTACTTGTACACAGTGGAATTTTACTCAGCCATGAAGAATGAAATCTTATCATTTGCAGGTAAATGGATGGAACTGGAGAACATCATTTTGAGCGAGGTCAGCTAGGCTCAGAAGACCAAAAATCATATGTTCTCTCTCATATGTGGACTTTAGATCTAGGGCAAATGCAGCAATGTGGTTGGACTTGGATCATATGACAAGGTGAGAGCACATACAGGAAATATAGGAATAGGTAGAAAACCCAAAACATAGACATCAAAAAAGCGTTTGATGTCCCCACTCCAGAGGAACTAATATAGAAACCTTAAAGCGACAGAGGTTAACATGAGAAGGGGATCAGGAACCAGTGTAAAGATCAGTTAGAGATGAATCAACATGGGTTGTAACACATGTGTACACGAAATCAATGCTAGGAATCTTTCTGTATAGTTATCCTTAACTCAAGCAGCAAAAACACTTTGTCTTCCTCATTATGCTTATGTCTTTTCTTCAACAAAATTAGAAATAAGGGCAGAACAGGTTCTGCCTGGAAGTGGGGGGCTGAGGGGGGAGAAATGACCCAAGCAATGTATGCACATGTGAATAAATGAACAATTTTAAAAAATGCCTATGTTCTGATGAAAAGAATTCCCATAGTGAATTTAGAAGGAAAAGAGTTCTGGTATGAGGCCTTATGCCTCAAAGCCCTGGCATCATCTCTTTGCCCTTCTCTCCCCTGCCTTATCTGTACTGTATGGTGAACATCATTTGCATATTAAATCATGCTGTCTCTAGAAGGCACTTTCCCCACACACTGTAGGTTCCTTGGCTAACTGTTACAACAGGCTGGAACTCACACCCTCTGTGGGCACTTTGATC